TTTATTTTAAAAAATTAATCTTTAAATATAAAGGATCATAAGTTAAGGCAAAGATTGGTTTTTAATTTTAATTGGACAATTTTTATATCCATATTAGAGCTGTCCAATCAGAATACTAGACGGTCAACATAGACATTTTTTTAGTTTAAAAGAGAGAGATAGAGAGAGAGATTAAATTATTTTATTGTAATTATATATAGTTATTATAGTTATTTTTTTGTTCATCTTATTACTATGATGATTACTATCCTCACTAAATTCATTAAGCATAATTAACAATATTTTAATATACCATACAAAATTCTAAATCATAAATTATTAAACCAATGAAAACGTATCTTTTGAAATGATAATAAAAGTTGTTACAAACGGATGACTAATGAATATTAGTTTTTTTAATAATTTTGTGATTCATTTCAAAAAAGAGAAATAGAAAATGTTGGTTGGGGAGGGGGTGTGAAAAAGTGGTGGAGGGGGGAGAAAGAGAGAGAGAGAGTAAAGCTAATTGTAAAGCTTTTCTACAGATGGCAGTGTCATGCATAAATTTCATTTTCCATTGAGTGTACCATGTGTGTATTATCACGTTTTTTAGCACTTAAGATTTAAGAGTATGATGAAGATGGCATGGTTATTGCGATATTAACACAATGGACTTATATAAAAAATCTATTTTAATCAGATATTTTATGTAAATATAAGTCAAATTCTTAATCATTTCTTTATGCAGAAAGGTTAAGTTCGGTAATGTCATAGTATCTTTGTACTGATGTTTTGGTTGTTCTAGTAGATGTATAATACTTATTGATAGAAAAAAAGATGATATGCAAAGGTATGAAATATATGTTATGAGAGTTTCAAAATACATGGGAAAAATGACTTATTTGCAATCCGTTAGGTTATGTACATATGTTTAACCATAGATTATCATTACTCAGATACTGGTGTTTCGTAACATAGATAACAAAAATTATCTATTTATACGTAGGCTTTTTACTGTTGTCCTACAAACCTAAAGACATTTTACGTATTAATCTTATTCAAGACGTTTGGAAAGTTAATTTTCTTGAGAAGAAAATATAAGTATTTATAATTATTAATAGTGTTGCCAAAATGCCTGGGAAAATTGTTGTCCTTGGTTCATGTATGATAGACTTTACTTGGTAAGTTTGTAAATTATATATATTTTAAATCATAAAATACACATATATTTTTGTTGATTTAATATATCATCTATAGTTTAGAAGAATTCAGCTGATTGTTTATAAGTTTTCAAAGACTACTTATTTATAAGTATATGATTATTTTCTTATGTTTAAATACATAATTTTACCTAAATTAGTAGTTAACAAAGAAGAAGATTTTGTTATTGATGAAGAAAACTATACGATTACATAATCAGAAATTATTTCAAAAAATTTTAGATATATTCATTTTCTAGCTATGCACCTCGCTTACCAAAGAATGGAGAGACAATATGTGGTAACAAATCTAAAATAAAACTTGGTGGGAAGGGTGCTAATCAATGTGTGGCTGCTGCTAAACTCGGTGCAACTACAGCGCTTATTTCCTCAGTAATATTTCTTTTTTTGTAATTGTATAAGTTTCTTTCTTCTTAAATGCATAGTTAAATGTAGATTATTAATCGCTTATTTGTCAGTTTTGAGAGTTGAAGTTGTTCGTCTACATAATGTCTACATAATTTGATTTTTAGTAAAATTTTAACAATAACTCTAACAATATTTATTTTAAATGCATGAATAATTATTGATAATTATGTAAATTCTTTATTGTTATTTTAACTGATTTTTCTTTTTATCTTTCTTTATAATAGTTGGGCTGCGACTTTTTTGCAAAAAATTATTTGGACGCATTGAGGGAATTAAATGTAGATATTTCTTTTATTAGAGTTCATGAGAGTGCAGAAAGTGGAAAAGCTCATATTACAGTTGCTAAAAATGGTATGTCATATTAAAGAAAAGAAAAACGATGATATATTTGTGTTATCTTTATTACATAAGATGTTTAAGATAACATAATAATCATGATTGGAATGGTAAATTATCTCTATTTTTTCAAACGTCATACTTTATACATTGGTAATTCAATACATTATCACCGTTAAAGAGTCAAAAAGATATGAATGAATCTTATGATCTTATATACTGTAGGTCAAAAGTCTTTAAGTGAATCCAAAATTTCTAGGTGATTGAAAAAATCAATTAATCTTTTTTCGAGATGTCTTAGGCTTGTAGTTTTAAAATTTGAAATGGAAGAAATATCTCAAAAAATCTCAAAAAAAAGTAATTGATTTTTAAAATGACCTAAGAAGTTTTGACCGAAGTAGGGACTTTGGGCTAATCCTATCATCATAAAAATCGTCGTAAAGAGAAAAGATGACGTTGAAATTGACGAACGTGTAAAAATGAAATAAGTCATAATAATTTGCAAATGCATTCGTTTGTAGGAGAAAATAGTATAGTAATCATACCAGGAGCTAATGAATTGACAAGTGTTGAACAAGTTAAAAATGCTACCACATTGATTGAAAATGCCGCAGTGTTATTATGCCAATTCGAATCACCAATAGACGCAACTTTGCAAGCCTTACGAATTCATAAAGGACATGGTTCGTTTTTATATTTACATTATTATTTCATAGGAATTTGATATTATTTCAATAAAAAAAAAAAATGAAAAAAAGAAAACAATTAACGAGACTTATAACAATGCTATAGGATATTCTATTGTGAATGGTGCACCAGCCATTAAATCTGTCAATCCAGAGATTTTTTCATTGTGCGACATATTTTGTGTTAACGAGACCGAGGTGGGTTTAAAAGAAAAATTTATAAGAACAACGACAAAGTTAAAGTTTGGCGATAAATAACAAATAGAAAGAAAAGAAAAAAGATTCGTGAATCGAGTCTTATTTTTATTTATTAGAAAGGAATAATTTTATTTTCCAGGCAGAAGTTTTAACAGGAATTTATCCTGTGATGATGTCGAATGTGAATTTGGCAATCAGTTTTCTTCTTTCTCAGGGATGTAATTTGGTTATAATTACTTTAGGATCGTTAGGTGCCGTTTTTGCATCCAAAGATACAGAAGAAATAGTTCGAGTTGATACAGTGTCCGTTACCCCGGTTGATACTACCGTACGTGAAATCAATTAATACTAATATTTATTTCATTAATGAGAACGAATTAAGAATCATGTTTATTGCTATTTGATATTTAAATCTTAATGAAAATGGCATTGATACGAAGGTAAAGTTTCTTTTCTTTTTCTTTTCCTACAATTTTCTTTTTTTTTTTTTTTTAATTTTCCTACTGCTTGAATTTATATACGAAAAGGAAAGTAAAAAGAAAAAAAAGGAAAAGGAAAAGGAAAAGGAAAAGAAAAAGAATCGCATAGGACTCATTATAGTCAGTTTAAAATTCTCGCTCTATATCGTGGCGCTCGCATTAATTAATACGTAAATGACTAAAGCGTGCGAAGAAAACAAGAAATAAACATTTAATCCCTTCATTAAATTTTATTACGCAGCCAAGGGAGTAGTCCGTTTTAAAAGTATGAATGCGCTTGCGCGCCAAAGATTCGAAATTCACTCGAGCTTTTTTCACGACGATGACGACGACGACGACAACGGCAGCGGCGACGGCGGCGGCGTCGACGAAAAGAGAGCGTTTTATTTTATGTTATAATTTTACTTGATAATTAAACGGATAAAACTTAAGTAAACGTAGTTATAAAAAGAAGGAGAAAAATATCGTGGCTATAGAAAAAAAACGGGTCCTGATAAAAAATGTCTCCTTAAAATTCTAATTAATTATCAATCATATTTTTAGAATGTATATTATCGAAAGAATTCATTCGGTTTAAGTCGAGTTCATTTAGGAACATAACAATTAGTTTATGAATTACTGAAGAATCTCTTTTTATTGTTCCATGTAGGGAGCAGGAGACGCATTTCTGGGTTCTCTAGCCTTCTTTCTAGCATATTATCCTGAACTCCCGATGAAAGAACGTATTGAAAGAGCTTGTAAGATTGCTACATTAACTGTATTGAAAGAAGGTACGCACGACAGTTTTCCAAAAAGAGAAGAACTTCCAGAGTCCATGTTTAAGTAATATATTTTTAATCTATAGAAAAAAAATGATGTATATTTAAATGCCATACTTGTGATAATATAATAAGGAGTTGTATTTGTTTAGATTTTTTATTGATAATAAAGTGAAATTTATGTAAAGAATATTTATAATATTATCTTGAAAATTCTAAATATCTCTTTTAAGTTACTGTCGGATTCTTTCCTGGGAAATTTATTTTTTAAACTAAACTATATCCGAAACTCGATTTTACCATTGAAGATTCGTTAATGCGGAATTTTATATTAATCGATTTTATGATTTATATCAATTTTATAGGGTGACTAAAATGGAACATGAATCTCAAGAGGGAAATAGGTTTAGACTATTGGAAAGTAACCCTCGAATTTTTCACGCGGAAAGAGAAATCGTTGGATCGATTGCGGATGCACCGCGTCGGTGGTCCCTTTTTTCCGAAACTCTTGTGGTTTAAGAGGGTTGGAAGAGGAGGAGGAGTAGAAGGAGGAGGAAGAGGAGGAGGAAGAGGAGTTGGAGGTTGAGAAGAAGAAGAAAAAGAAGGGGAGGAGAAGGAGAAGGGATAAAGGGTTGCGTTAGGAAAACGTAGGCGTAGCTAGCTTCATAGGACATAATCGGCGGAAGGGGTTAGCGGACCTGGAGATTTTGTATTTATTGTACATATTCGAGCTATGTGTCTGTATTTTTTTCTCTCTCTCTCTCTCTCTCTCTCTTTTTAACAGAACCGAAGCAAGGTTCGACGAGCGCATCGACTCGTATAAGAGAGGTATTTTTTCTCTCTCTTTCTCTCTCTCTTTCTGGACCCATTGGTGAGGGGTATCTCTACGTATTTCGAAGACTATCAATCATTGGTAACCTGTAAAGGATCTAATTATCCTGGAGCTGACTGGGCTCTCCGTTCGGTGCACCCGCCACCGCTCGTCTTGTCCACCCTTTCCAGCCCCCCTGGCCCTTCCTCGTGGTGGTGCCGGCGTCAACCCACCCTCCTCTACCTCCCGATCTCTTCCGCTACCAAAACCCTCTTTTTCGCTCTAACAGCCACCCTTTTCCGCGAGAGATGGGTGGAAGGAAAAAGAGAGAAAGAGATAAAAAAAGAGAAAAAGGGAGAAAAAGAGAGAAAAAGTGTGGGAGAGAGAAAGAGAGAGAGAGAGAGAGAGAGAGATAGTGTACGGTCGTTGAGAGGGACGAAGAGGAAGACTAGGACGAGAAAGAGGAGGAAGAGGAGGAGGAGGAGGAGGAGGAGATGGGGGTGGAGGTGGAAGAGATCGGTGTATAAAGCGGGTACAAGCGCATATATATATATATATATATATATGTGTGTGTTTGTATGTGTGTGTGCGTAAGAGCTCAAAGAGTGCTCCCGCCTCGACAGAGGCTGCTGGTGTCGGTGAGCCGGTACTTTTTTTCGTACGCGCCGTTGTACGTCCGTGTGGGCGCGCACGAGCCCAGGTGTATAATAGTGGAGAACGATAGAGGAAAAGAGACAGACATAGAGTAAGGGAGAGAAACGAAAGAGGAAAAAAGAAAGAGATAGGTTGGGTAGTTGGTTAGGTGGCCCGGTCGATATATCAGGGCTCCGCTGCTGCAGCTGTCTGTCAGGCTCGCGAACTCGGCGCTAGACGACGAGCTCGGGGTCTAGAGAAAAAAGCGCTTTGCTCTCTCTCTTTCTCTTTCTCTCTTTTTCTCGCTTTCTCCCTTCCATGCGCTCCTTCCTGCTTCTCTCTCTCTTTCTCCCTCCCTCCCACCACCATGCTTCCGTGGGGTAATTTTTCATCGTTGCAGCGGACGACAGAAGCGCCGCGACGGCGGAGTCGGCGTTCTCCCCCGTATATATATATATATATATGTGTATATGTATGTTATATATTATTTGTATATGTGTGTAAGTATATGCGAAGCTATATATTATTTTTCTATCTTTTATCCTTTTCTATATATATATATTGTTTTTTTTGTCTCCATATACGCGCGTCTACAGTTGGACACGCGCGCAAATGGTTAATGTTCGTGCGCGTGCACCTTGTATACGCTCGCGAAGAACATCCCTCTCTAAACTCCCTCCCCCCCCCCCCCCGCGCGAAAGAATACACTTCGGACGAGGGGTGTGTCGACTCGAAAACTTGATTCAAAAATATGAAAAAAGAAAAAAAAAAGAAACTTATTCGCGTAGGACTCGTAAAACTCGGCAAATTTTCTTACGAAACTTGTTACATCACTTATCTGACAATAGGTAGACAATTTTTTGTTTGTTATGGTATCTTTCGATAGAATTCTTTGAATGAACTTTTCTATGGTTTTGTAATACACACTTAATAAAAAGTAGAATCATTTGATTTTAATTTTACGTTAGAGAAGTTAGAGTTAATTTAATGCATTATATAGTATCTTGGACACCCTTTTTTTTTTTAAAAAAAGAAATATAATAAATGTTTATTTTATTCTGTAAATTTGTACACCTATTAACAAGTTTGCTGGTATATAATGAAAAATAAGAAATGTTAAGTATCCTATTCAATGGGATCTATTATTGATCCGCCCCCCTTCCTCATTCTCAACCTAATAAAATGTAGTAATCTGCAATACATTATAATTATATTAGATAAGAAGAAAATTCTCCAAGAGTCTCGCATATTCCTCGTAGGTCCTCGTCAGTTTTCAAGATCTACTTGCACAAGAGAGAAAGAAAGGGAAGGAAGGGGTTGGGGGGTTCGGAAGGGGGACAGGAGAAGACTATTGTCGCAGTTCTCGAATATTTTTTCATTAATTTTCCATAAGACTTTCAATTCTATTTTAACGTTCACAATCTAATCGATAGATCGAAACGCTATCGATCTTGAGAAAATATGAAGAAAATTCAAATTCATTTTTAAACTAACTTTATATTTAAGGGGATTTAGATTTGTAAAGAAAAAAAAAGAAAAAAGAAAAAAAAAAGTTCATTTCAATTAAAAAAAAAAGATTAATTAGTTAAGTAATTAGAGTAGATAGTTAGTTTTTGAATAGATATGATTATTTCGATCGAACTTACGGGTATTATACTTAAATGCGGATCGAAAATTTGAACGCGTCGACGTAATAAAAAAAAATCACGCGATTATGTGTGGGAAACGTGAATAAGTTAATAGTTCGCGCATCTTCTCTTAACTCGTCGTTCAACATTATGAAACATTGCGATTTAGAATTTGTGATAGATAATACCTATGTGAGTACTCGCGTTACGATTTCTCTCGATAAATTTCATCAAAATTTTTGGTAATTTATTATTACACTTAAAAACGTTTCGAATGATTTCATTTACTATATGTATATTCGTAATTATATAAGAAAGTCATTGAGAGAAATCGAATAATCGAAAAATTGTATGTGTATTTACTTTGAAAATCGTAGATATATAACGACGATAGTAGAGTATATAATATTATATGTAAGTAAATAAATATGTATGTATACGCGTGTATTTATATAGGTGTAGGTGGGTTTTTATTAAGAATAAGCTGGCAGTACGTAATTACGAACTAGCGGAGAACGTCGTCAGCCTTTTCCTCTCTCTTATCGATCGGCCACGAAAAACGTGAGCGCGCGCTCAGAGAATCTCGTAAAAAAATTAGACGCGAAAATATATATTTTTGGCGGGTAGTAGACATACAATAATAATCCTTTTTCAAATCCTTTCTTTTTTTTTTTTTTTTTTTTTCTTTATTACTAGGGGACGGACGTGAAGAGAGGGTGCAAGGGAAGGGATGGGGTCGGAGAGCGGAATCGTTGAGAAAAATAACTTTGCGGAGTAGTACACAGGTACTTAGAAAAACAAAAAACAAACAAAAAAAAGCAAAGAAAAGAAAAGAAAAGGAAAAAGTAAAAAAAAGAAAATGAGAGAGAAGATATACCACTTGAGAAAAGTCGAGAAGGGGTCGGTCGTCCGACGAACGAGAGAGGCGTTTCTTTTCTTTTGCAATCCTTGTCTTTCTTCCTTCTTCCTTCGATGGTCTTAGGAAGGAAGGAAGGAAGGAAGAAAAGAAAAGGAAAGGAAAGGAAAGGAGTAAAGAAAAAATGAAGAACGAAGTATTATCGTTGAAAGTAAATCGAACGAAGTCAAACTAAGCGATCATTCCACAGTTGATATTCGAGCAAAAGAAATCGAGGGTTACTTTAAACAGACTTTGCTGAAACTTTGGAAAAATAAAAATCATATGTGCAAGATATATATATATATATATATATAGGAACGTATTACTAGTCAAAATAATCGAAAAGAATAATACAGACGTACGCTCGCGCGCGCGTCGTGTATGTTTTATTTCATTTCTTTTTTTATTTATCTATGCTTGTGTGTATATATTTGAAGGTGTTTCAAAGAAAAAGTTTTGAAAATGGAACGTTCTTGAAAGAGTCGCCGGGTCAGGAACCTTCTCGAGATCTTCTCCTTTAAAGGACGAATGAGGGGAGTTTCAAGATTATCTTCTTTTTTCTTGGACATTCTCTTTCCATCTTTCTCTCTCCCTTTCTCTCTCTCTCTCTCTCTCTTCCTCTCTCTTTTTCTTTTTTTCTCTCTCTATCTCTTTTCATCGTTAGTTGTTCCGTCGGTCCGATTAACGTGAAAGCGATGTCATCCTCTCAAGTTTTTGGGCGTTTACCGGCATCGACGTTGTGCAGCGTTTTTCGTGCACACGGAGGAGGAGGAGGAGGAGGAGGAGGAGGTGGATGAGGAGGAGGAGGAGGAGGAGGACGATGCCCGTAAGCACCGCGTGCGATATCTGCCCACGCAGACGTGCACACGTGCGCACAGGCGAAGGTACACCGAAAAAACGGTAGCAACGTGTGGTAGAAAAAAGAGAGAGAGGGTGAGGGTGAGGGTGAGGGTGGGAGGGATGGAGAAAATCATCCGTGTGCGCGAGCGAGCGAGCCTTTACACGGGAGCGCTTCGCACTAATATTCGCAAAAAAATTCGTTCGAGGACGCACACGAGTGCATAGGGGGTGGCGCGCACGCACACGTATGCAGCCACACAGATATTCGCGAAGATTCAGAGACGCGAATACACAGAGAAAGGTAAAGAGAGAGAGAGAGAGAGAGAGAGGGGAAAAGAGAAAGAGAAAGAGGGAGAGAACTAACCCTCTGCAAGCTC